TTTGGGTTTTTTTTTTTTTTTCCCCACAGTCCCCAGAACAAGTGGTTGGTGGGATCTATGGTGTCCTGAACAGGAAACGTGGACATGTTTTTGAAGAATCCCAAGTGGCAGGAACCCCAATGTTCGTGGTCAAGGCATACCTACCTGTAAATGAGTCATTTGGTAAGACAGCTCTCTTTTTTTTTTTTTAATTACCCACATGCAGTTAAAGAAGGAACTCTGCTGGATGAAATGGACTGAAGAATTCCCATTTCATTAGCTCCAAGTTTCTTCCTGTTGTCTCTTCACATCTTTGGCTCATTTATTTAGAACAAACGGTTGGCTCCTGTGTTTCTGGCAGCCTACTCCATTGGGCTTTCAGGCAAGCAGAGGGTGCCAAAAAGATTGTGTGCAGCATCTTCTGTAAATTAAGAATTTGTAATATTTACCAGATTCTGTTTCCACCATTTAATTAAAAAAGAAAAACTTCCTGTGAAGCAAGCTGAAGGAAAGAAATTTGTCTTCAGTGGCAGCAAGCTAGAAAACTTTGTAGCGATTTCAGTTTTTTAGAAGAACAGAGTGTCAGCCAGAGTGGCTGCATTGCATCTTCTTTCCTGTCTTTAAGAACTGCCTCTAATATAATGTTGCATCTGCCCCTTATTACGTTGCCCCAAAACTTCAACTTTTCAGTGCGGTACAAGGCCTTTCTTCTGCTCTTACGGTTGGTTTGTGCATCAGGTGCCCCTCTCTCCCCGTTTGAAAATGCACTTCAAGACTGTTCTGTGACATCAGTAAGAAAGTTTGCCAGTTTCACAGGGCACACTCGGAACTCCTCACATAGTAAAGTGTAAGAAACGTCACGTTTTATTGTGTGTGTGCTGTTTTGCAGAAGTAGATTAGTATGGCAACTGCTAAAATAATCAGTTGTGTAATAAGATATGCTTAACTTTAAATTAAGCATGAAATTAAGCATTAAATTAACTTCAAAAACAACTCGTCAAAATTTGCAATTTGACTAGTTAGCTAAAAGAACAGTTTATACACGTTTGCGTTGCAGGTATTTTTGTTTTTATCCTTCCCCAAGTTTCCAGAGAGCTTAAACCAATCTCATAAAAGGAAGAGATTTCCAAACATGGAAGAACAAAAAGAAATGTAAACGTAAGACTTTGGAGCATGTGGATTACACTGGGCCCTCAGTCTCAACTTGCACAGCATGTTAACGTCCAGATTCTGAAAAACTGCCTCCCTAGTTGTTTGCAAAAGCTATTGTTGAGTCTTCCTAAAACAGTGACCTGAAGAGACAGGGAAACATCAGTGTTCTAAATAAGTAACGGCTAGAGGTTGTTCCACAGTAAAAAAGCCTCAGTTCACAGTGAGCAGCTGTTCATGTGATTGGATACTTGGGAGAAGGGGATGACATCACTAGAAGGACAGGGAAAATGGCAAAGAAAACACCTGTGTGCAGTTAAACGTAGGTGGCTCTACTGTGTCAGACTAAAGATGTAGTTAGCTCAACAGCTTGTTTGTGACAGCAGCTGAAAGTGAGCGCTTGGAAAAGAGGAAGAACGAGGCAAGCTTGTGTAACGCTTCCCCAGCAAATCCTTTAGAACCCCTTTTAAAGGCTTCCTGGGGCAGAGAGAGTTGCTATATAAATTTAGTAACTCTTGGTGGGTTTCTCTTTATGAACGTCTTCCATCTCCCCTTCAGTCCACAAAAAAGGTCAGCATCCACAGCGTTGGCAAGGAGTTCTACAGATCTGCACTTTGTCGTATGAAGAACTGCCTCCTTCCGTGTCTGTTGAATCTGGCTCCTACTAGCTTCATTTGATGCTTCACTTGCTTACATTGGGAAAGACCATGAGACATTGACCTTTATCCAATGTGTCCCTGTCGCTTCTGATTTTGTATACTGCTATTATATCCGTCTTGCTATGCTGCTGCTCTTTCCACTCTTTGGAGTCCGAGCTTGCTGAGTTGATTCATTGCATGGAAGCCAGTCCAGGGCTTTGGTCATCTGTGTTGCCCTTTTGTGAACCCTTTTCCACTTCAGCAGTATCTGCTTTTGCAATAAAGGGACGAGAGCTACACACAGTATTCGAGGTGTGGGCTTTCACAGAGAATAATGGTATTCTCTTTGGTTCTGTGTTCCTTTCCTAACAGTTCCTAGCATTTGACTTTTGACTGCTTCTGAATGTTGAGCTAATGCTTTTGTACTTCTTATCGCAACCCTAAGATCTCAAACTGAGTGTAGTTGATCAGTTCAAGTCTCATTGCATTATATGGGAAGTGTGCCCTTTCAGCTAAGTTGAATTTTATTTGCCATTTTATTGCCCTTTTACCTGGTCACGCCAAGTCTTTCTGCAGTTCTTCGGAGTTGTCCTCATTTTTACCTACTTGAAATAATCATCTGGAACGTGGAGGTTTCCTAACAGTACCTCACCCAGGCTCCGGAAGAGTGTTCTTAGAGATTTGTCTGTGTAAAAATTCACAATAAAACAAATTTCATTTGCAACTCATCCATTTTTTTTTTTTTTCCCTCTTTCCTTCCTTCCCATTAGGTTTCACTGCTGACTTGAGATCCAACACTGGTGGCCAGGCTTTTCCACAGTGTGTCTTTGATCACTGGCAGATTTTGCCTGGAGATCCTTATGATGTAAATTCTCGTCCTTGGCAAGTTGTGGCTGAAATACGTAAGCGCAAAGGCTTGAAGGAGGGTATTCCACCTCTAGATAATTACCTAGATAAGTTGTAACCACATCCTCTGTTTTATGTTGTATGATACAATGACCAGTTTCATCATGATACTGTTTCCTCATAAAACCTGGAAGGAGATGGCAAGTTTTCAATATTACATGGAACACACACATAGTCTAGCATACTGTGATTATACCTACTAAAAAGAGAAAATAAAAATAATAAGTGTTAATTTGACCTACGAGATTCTTTTTGCCTATATCTTGTCTGCGATCACTGATGCCTGTGACAAAAATATCCTTAGAAACCAGTTACCTAGGATTCTAATGGTGTTCTTTCCAGTTTGCCTAATCCACAACTGTCTTCTGACCTAGGAAGCAGCTTCCCCTGTTGTTGCACTTACAGGAGTTCTTGTTGAACTGTCACTTTATTTGTCCTCTCAATGAGAAGATGCTTTTGTTTCCAAACTTGAATCCTCTGTGCTCTTGAAGACCCATAGTGAAAGGTTTGCAATTACAGGTAAGTTCTCCAGCACCTAGGGGCTAGATTTAAAGGCAGACATTGAAAAAACCCTAACTGATTTTGGAAATGCTTGAATTCTGCTGCTAGACAGGTGCAGCACATGCTATGATTGGTGTCATATCATTGGGCAGCAAAGTTCTGCATAGGTGGCTCAGTTATTTCAGACAATTTTGTCTGATGTGGAAGTATACACAGGTCAGGACTTAAGTCTTCAGATGTATGGGTACAGCCTATTTATGACTAGTATTTTAGCAGCTAATCGTCTTAAGGAAGCTCACTTATCTTTGAGAAACTGCAGACAAAAATGCAGCAAATGAATGGGTGGGGGAAAAAAAGGGGCTATATCTTGCAGCATGGCTTTCTTTGCATGTTGGTTATCCATGCAGGTAGAAGGAATTCCTATTCCTCACCGAAGCTTTCCTTTCCTTCTGCAGTTGGCTTGAAAGTATCTTTGACATAGTACATTCAAAGCACTAACGAGATACTGCTGTAGTGAAAATGAAGAGGTAAGAAGTCTAACCTTTTCTTCAAGATTTTCTCTAGCTAGAAGTTCTTGGATAGACATTCTAGTGCATTTTGGCTGCAGAGCAGAACATTGCTGTCAGGAAAGTAAAGTACTAATTCATCCAGATACAATGGATGGGCTTGTTCTGGGTAGGGAGCACAGCTGAGTGATAGAGGCTTTCATTAAATTCTGACTCCAATCCCCTTTCTACCCACCATTGTTGAAGTTCTCTGTTATCTTCTGGAAGAAGGCTTAGCAAATAGGAGACATGGCTGCATGGCAGTGCTCAAAGCATTTGACACACCTCATCTACAAAGTCAAGTGGATTATATAAGGCTAATAATTATTTCCTGTGCATACATCAGTAAGTAGTTTACCTTAACACTTACCTCATGCCACAGCCTATGGGAAAAAAAAAAATCTGTCTTTGAAAAGAAGGGCTCAAGGCCTGTAAGTCTGCTTCTGCCACTGCTGTCAGACATCTGGAAGGTGTAGGACTAAAGGCAGCTGCTGAAGTCATGCCCAGGATAGCTGCAGATACCTTAGGCTTGATAAGTAACCACTAGCAGGGCACAGCTGTTAACCCTGTTTAGTAAAATTTCAGCCATATTTTATAATACCAAGACTGTTCTAGAGCACTTAAGTTTTTTCCTTTTTTTAAAGGGGAAAAAAGGACAAGTTTTTTCCTTTTCTGACTTACATGCGAGACATTTACCTCCCTTCAGGCAGTTTAGCAATTCCTGTGTCACACTTTGCTATTAAGAGTACAAACAGCATCTTCAGTAACAGATACCAGTTTTAAACACTTTATTTAGAATGGCTTTTGAACCTCTCAGCATTCTATTGTTCAAGTTACTGTGCAATTGTGATGCAGAAAGCACTGATCAGCTGCAGGCCATTAGGCAGAAAACCTCACAAGTAGCATGGCTTTATTGGAAATAAATCATGCTAAAAAACTGATCCTTTTAACAGGTACAAAAAAATTTAAAGATGGAGGAAGGAGAAGAAAGGGTAGAGGCGATATTAAGACCAACATATGAATTGAAGACTGGTGTGAAAGATCATACAAAAAAGGCAATGAGGAACAGTAATGCAGCATTCAAGATGGGAGTACAGGGCAGACAAAAGTTACAATAGATCCTGCTTCAATATTTTTTATCCATGTACTTAGTTCAAATACTGTAACAGTAACAGAAGGCTAAAAACACCAAACATCTCAGACTAAAGAAATAAGAAAAAAAGAAACACAAGATTGGGA